ATTTACTCACTCGACAAATGGTAAATATTTATACATTTAATATTAAATAAATAAATAAAAAAACCTAGTGAAAACAAAAGAAAAAAGCAGCTACAACTTCAACGTACAAATCTTTATCCTGTCAACACAAAACTCTCTCATTTAACAACAAGAACAACCTCAGCAGCCAGCCAGCAACAACCACAACAACAACAACAACAACAACATGCAACACACAACAAATACAACACAGCGCCTACTAAAACAAAAACAACAACAAAACAATTAACCCGAAAAAAAAAACAAACCAAAACTCTTTAAAATATAAATCTGAAAATTGAAAATCTTTTCACCGCTACTACTAAAAAATTGAATACACTGTATTATATAACAACAACAACAACAAGAACAACATCAGATACAAAGAAACATTGTGTATTATATGACAAAGAACCACCACAACAACAAGCCAGCAACAACAACAAGAACAAAAACAAAAAGCAACAGCGCCCAAAAAGCCAGCAACAGAATTCTTAAGCAAGTCTTTAACAAAACGCAGCAGCAATTGAGTGCAGCAGCAACAACAACAACAACTACAACAACCAAAATTTCAGTTCTATTAAACAACAATAACAACTACAACAACAACATGAAAACCACGATGCAAACAGCTTTTTGCTCTCGCACTGTATAAAAAAATTGAAAGAAAAAAAGTATAATAAACTACGCGACAAGTCAAAAGTTCACTAACAAATTACTGCATTTAATTTATGTCTTACAAATTTTATTTGTTTTATAATTTTTTAATTTTCTCTTTTTTTTTATGGCAGTGTTTAAAAGGTAGTAACAATAACAACAACAACAACAACTACAACAACAGTAACTACTACAAAAAGCACACTTGGAACCAAGCCCAAAGCTCGATATATTTTATATAAGCGCCCACTAACAATCAATATGTTAAAACCGCAGCTATCCCCGCCCCCGCCCCCCGCCATTAAAAACGCCCATACGCCTGCCCGCCTGCCTGCTCGCCCGCCTGCCTGACTACCCCTACTAACTAACTAACTAACTTATTTACTTCTTACTTAACCCAACAATAAACTTTAAAGAAGCAGAAGCAACATACTAAAAAATAAAACTATTACTACTAATATTTTTGTTGTGCGTGTGTAAGTTCCAAAACAGAAAGAAACCCGATAAAAAAAATGTATCTATTCCCTCAGTAAGAAACAACAACAACTACAACTATTACTACTACTACTACTACTACAACAACAACAGCTACAACAACAACAGTTATGCAACTAAAAAAAAAAGAATGCACCAAATTTAAGCAAGTCAAAAAAATACAATAAATATATATATATATATGTATATATATATATTCAATTTTATGCAATCTATACAAAAAATTCAAAAACCAACCACGAAAATGCAAGCATATTCTATATATGTCTATATATATATAAATATAGACAATATATTCAAACTCTATATCTGGGCAGGACTAAGCATCACAACAAAATATAAACGCAAAACTCGCAGACAAGATATATATAATACTACAAAAAAAAATAATAATAATAATAATAATAATAATAATGCAAGAACTCAGTATATGTCTTCTCACATAGTATCTCTTACTCTCTATCTCTCTCTTACTCTATCTCTCTCTTTCTAATCACAATCTCAAATGAAATAAAAAACCAAACAATTACCCAACACTATTCTACTATCTATCTCTATCTCGCTTGTGTTTGTCTGTGTGCAGGGATGCATGGCACGGGCAGCGACGCAGAACCACTCGCAAGAATTGTTGTTGTTGGACTTGATGATGATGATGATCATCAGCATCATGATAATACTAAAGATGTTAATGATGATGGTGATGCTAATGCTGATGATATTGACAGCGCGGGATCAGCCATAACATATACGGATTGGAATTTGGAAACACACACGGATCACATAATATTACCAACTACGACAGCGACAAATACCAGAACTGCTAGTACTACGACAGCAGCTACTACAGCCCCAATATGTTGTCGCTATAGAATGTACAGTTTGAACAGATCCTTGAAATGTTTGAGCGGTGTACGCTGAAAAGTTTTTGAATTTTTTGCATAAAACTGAGAAAAGAGAAACGAACCAAAAAATAATTATAATAACACACTCAAAACGGAAAGCAGCGATTTATCGATTTATCTACCGTTATCGCAATAAAATATCGCTTATCGTTATCGGAATAAAATGTTGCCAATTGTGGTTGTTGCTGTGACTGCTGTTGACAATCCGACGAGTTGCCAGAGAGAAACTGACAAAACCCAAATCCATAAAAAATAACGAAATATTAATTGAAAAAATTAAAATTTGTTTTTGGTACCATCCACATATATATATATTTATATAATATATATATAGCTTATATATAATTTTTGTTCTGTATATCATACCATGAACCACATTTTAAATCAAGCTACGATTTTATTTAATTTAAATTAATATACATATATTTATATATTAATATATATTTATATATATATATGTAAAACATTTACCATTTGGGATCTGTTCAAAGTAATGTGACTATATAGCTATATAAAAACGATTTTTGGGGCATGTAGAGAAGTTGTATGTACGGGCCCGTTGGTTTTCGTCGCTCGATATGTATGTAGTTTCTGACGGTAAACAAACAATTTAAAAGAAAAAAGTTCAAAAATATAAAAAAAAAATATGTATATCGTGCACCGTTTTTTGTGGAGAGAGAGCGCGTCATGAGAAACGACGACGTCGACCAACGTCGCGTATTATCACACACACACACAGCTACTACTGTGACGGAGGTGAGTCAGTTGAAGCACTCTATACTAAATATAACTACCTACCAAATACGATATCATAGTTTGTAAGTGCAAAAGACGACGTAAACCCACAACCTTACCCAAGAAGCATAAGTTAAGCAAATGTACCAACTCAAACGATATGTGTTGAATTTTAGCTACAGTCTGTTAGAATTGAAGGAAATTGAAATTGCCTTTGTATTGAGTATTCTGCAATATTGAAAATATCAAGAATTGCTTTCCGTTTCAGTTCTTAGCCAACCGTTTATTGGCTGTGGGTTGCTCCAAACCAAAATTAATAATATTTGATGGATTACATCAAATGGAACATATCATAAATAAAGAAGTTTTTGACAGCTTTTAGCCAATCTCTGCGCTCAAATTTGAATTTCTATGTTATGATTCTTACCAGAATTAGTAAGAGATTTGATCGATTTCTTAACTGTGCAAATATTGTAGCCCTAAAATATTTATTTTTATTCTATAGCAGCCCAAGATCTTAACTTGTCTACCATTAAATGTCTTAACTGCTATCCAATTATTTCTGTCTCCTTTGACGAATAATAAAACTCGCATTTCTCAGTCTCAGCTAGTCTATCAATTTGTGATTCATGGTTAGTGAACATAATTTGATTCTCTTACATAATATTAGATTTATAATCGCATGCATTAAATCTTAACTATAGTTGCCTGCTGTCAATATTCAGTCAGAATGTGTTCAAATGTTTCGCCTTAAAAGTCGCTAAAATTCGTATTCGATACAAGACATTAGCCCACTTAACCATAAAAGTCTATTTGCCAGCAAATAATTGCACATAAAAATTACGTTTTTCTTGTTTTTATGCAATTGTCAAAGCATTTGTAGAACAGGTTCTAAAACTCAAGCTAAAACAAGCTGCAATAATTGGGGTCGCATTCGATTTTGTTGGTCAGTTCGTTTCGTTGGCCCTGAAAACTTGCAACTAGCAATATTACAAATTCCAAAAATCAGCCTAAACAGGCTTTGAGCTTGTGCAAATATATACTTGGACATGCCTCTGTGACCGTTAGTATATGTATGCTCATAATGTTTCCAATTTTACTTGAATTCAATTTAATTAATCTCTAACCCCTCCTTTGGGTTTTCTTTCATCAATTTTGGTTTCATATGTCGGCTGATTTCTCTAATAAACGCCTTAAAGAGCGCAAACAGAAAAAAAAATGTCAGCGATTTATTTAATTTGGCTCAAAATGATTTTGGCTGTCATAAATTAATTCAATTCAAAATGTTGTTATATAAGAATTTGTGCCGCATTTTAAATTCAACATGACGTCGCGTTGCTCACAAGTTGTTGGTATTTGTTGTTGTTATGGTTGTTCTGGTTGTTGTTGTTGTTTTTATATACTGACCTGCCTCAAAACTGAAAAGAAATTAGTTGCCTACACGTTGCGTCAGGTTTTTATTTCGTATATATTTTGCTTGTTTTTATCTCTTTCTTGTTTTTTATATTCTTTATTATATGGCATACAAAAAAAAAAAAAAACAGATTCATTGACATGCAAAAGGCCATGAATACCGAAGCAGCAACTGAGCCGGGCGAACGACCCGTAATATTTTATATGTATATAGATATATATTTGCATCAGTTCTCGTTCTAAGGTTCTCTCGCTCTCTCTTATGATCTGGCCAACTCTCGCTCCTCTCCCTCTCTCGCTCTCTCTCTCTTGCACAGCCTGGTGTGTTGCATATTTTGGCGCTCTCTGTTAATTCGCAGCTATTGAAAATGGGACTGGACTTGGATATGTGATGCTTACTCTTTTATTTTAATATTGTTTTGTGCTCCCCTGGTTCAATAACAACATATATTTAGTTCTTTTTGGCCATTGTTTCGTTTGTTTGTTAACCAACTCTCTAAACAGAACAACAAACACACTCTCAAAACAGTTTCTCTTAGTTAGTTATTAGTGTACAACAACAGAAGACAACAACATGAATAAACAATACTCAGACACAGACACACCACAACAAACGCAACTCAGCCCAACTAAATTCAACCCAACTCAACTCAACTAAACTCAACTCAATCAATCCAACAAAAGCAACCCAACAAAATCCAACAACCAACAAATTCAACAAATTTGTGGAAACATTTATCACGCGCAAATTGTTTGCCGTTTGCTCTTATCTCATTTCAGTTAAGGAGATTGGAAATGGTCGCTCACCATTACTGCAGGAGCCTCTTTACGGTACACGACCTCAGCCCTACAGTGAGTAGAAGGCGCCTATTCATTTGTAGTTTCTGTTTAGCTGACAAATGTTGTACCCTACGTTTTTTTTTATTTCTGCATACCCCCTTCCCAAAAACTCCCAATGCCTTCTTCTATTATAACCACAAAATGTTTACGGTGTGCGTGTGCGTTTCAGGTTGTTTCGAAATTTTTATTTAATTATGTTTGATACATTTCGTTTTTACAATTTGGTTATTTAGTGCTACTTGTGGGCTTAGGATCGGTTATTGAGGTAGGTGAAGTTATTGTTTCCGTTACTGTTGTTGACCATTTGGCAGAGCTTGAGTTGGTTGAGCCTTTTATCACGCCATTACACTTTTAATTACTAATTGACAAGCTTTAATTACTTAAGTAATTGTGCTATATTTCACTACTCAAGTATAGGATCAAAAATATGTGAACATAAAAGCTGAGTGCATATTAAATAACTTTTAGTAATTCGATAAACTTAATTACTTGATAATTACCGCATGAATAACATCATCTGCCCGTGCCAGATAATGTACACACTGTAATTACTCTAGTAATGGTGCTTTATATAAGTAATTACTCAAGTAATTATGCTTGATAATAGTAATTACTAATCAACAAATACTAATAAAAGCAATGTTGACTTTAATTCTATAAATGTATATGCCAACAATTACTAAAGTAATTTCTTTACCTTAATGTAATTACTCCATAAATAAAATCTGATTTCGAGCAGTTACGCGACTTTGTGCAAAAATTTATTGATGCAAAGCATCTCTGCTCCGCTTTCCATTATATAATCATGTCAGCCTTGCCGGTTCATACTCCACCCACATATTTTCTTTAAGCAGTTCACATGCCATTTAGCAAATTGTCTACATAAATTCATTAGTATGTCAAATGCAGCACTCTTTCACTCGTAGCATAGAGTAAAAGTCTACTTTTCTGAGAGTTTTTTCTTTTCTTTTCTTTTACCTGGCAAACTTTTCTAATTGTTGGCACTTGAGCGTGTCTTTCGTTGGGAGCCCTCATAAAATTGCAATCATTACAATTTGTGCTCCCTTACTCCCCATTTCCATCAGCCAACTTTATTTTGCTTTGAACGTGTGTGTGTCTGTGACATGCGAGCAATTAAAAGAAATTAAGAGCTAACAACAAATAATACTAATTAACTTGGCCAAAAGTAAAACTGGCGCTTTAAATCAACATTGGTACAGCACTCGACCCAATTTGTGCAAAATAATCCACACAGAGCCCACAGATACTCGAAGTGCACACGTTTTATAGAGGTCCTTAAACGTGACAATGTGCTCGACTAGTCGGCAGATCAAGTGTTAGGCGGACGGGACGATGGGCCGGGGATTTGAGTGCTGTGAAGCGGTTGAAAGTTCAGATTTCATGCACATTGCTCAAGTCTCTGGTATTTGCCAATTGGCTTGCGAAAATTGTGTCAAACGCAAAGAACTGGCTGAAGGAAATGGCAAAACCCTAAAGCAAGAAAACACATTCCAATAAGAGAGAGTGAGAAAGAGAGGGCTTAGAGAGAGAGCACGTATATTTTTTTCAATGAACATGTGTATTCATTTTCTCGTTGACTCTGTGGCCTGCCAAACACCGCATGCCCACTAATTTTGCCTCCAATGTGGTAATCGATTTCTAGATCTGTGTGTGTGTGTGTGTGCGTGTACATGTGAAGTACAAAATTAATTGATTTTTTATGAGCCAAACACTTCGAATTCAATTGCATTCAAGTTGATTGTAAAATTTTGTGGCTTTCGTTTTGTTACGGCTACTCAGAAAATGTCAGGGTGAGAAGGCTCCTGCTCTGCTAAACGATTGTGTGAGAATTTTAAATATAGACTATAGGATACTTTAGAATTTGGGCATACAAAAATGCTAGCCCATGATTTCTGAAGAAAAGAGCTGAATTCTTGTTCAAATCGTTGTGCAATTCTTGGCAAAAGAAACATATTTATTTTGCCAAGTATTGGCAATAATATGATTTAAAAATATTTACAAAAAACATAGTTTTTATTATAAATATATTTATGGTATATTAAAGTAAAATTATAAAATAGTTCAAATATAATGTAACTAAATTTATTTAAAATTTTTATTTTTTAAAATTACATAACAAAATTGTTATTAAAAAATAAATTTAGTTTGAGCGCTTCTAATTTCCAAGTGGCTTAAAATTTGCGTGTATATATCCACAAAATTGACAGCTTAAATATTTAAATGAACGATGCTCATGTTCTGCGCTTCGAATTCCTAAACGGTTTAAGGTTCAGTTCAGAGTGCCTTAAGAAAAACCATCGCTTACGAGGCTCACTCAGCTGTAGCCAAGTTTTATACTTTTTATTAAAACTCTTTTTCTATATTCCCCACGCCCATTTAACAACTAACTAATTTGCTTATATTATTTATTGATCCCAAAACCAACTGCTCCCAAAACCTACCCTGTAGAGGCCGCTGCTGTGTTGGGCTTCATTTGGCAAGGCCAAGAGATAAAAACTAAAACCAGGCAGAGCCTCGAGGCCGCACCTAGTTACAACTTTTGCATTATCTAAAAATCGCAAAACTATAAACTAGGCAACCGCAAAAACCCGCAACCCACCACTTGCTGTTGCCCCTCCCCCTGCCATTGAAGACTTATGTAAGCTGCCTTTAGGCGCGACGTCGGCTCGTACCATAATTTTGCGCTCGAGCATTTTCTTAGCCTTGATATTTTAATTTGTGCGTAAATACAATTTTAAGCATTGCTTTGCTTTTGCATTAGCCAAGTGGAAAGTTTGTGCCATGAATTTGTTGTTGTTGTTGTTGTTTCTAGTGCTTTGGGGACAGAAACTCTTGATGTAAAAAGATTAAACAAAAATCCGTCTCTGACTGCCGCTCGGCTGCTGCTTTTAATTGCATTCGAGGCAAAAGTTGAACTTAAGTTCTGCCGTTGCCGTTGGTTTCAATTAGAACTCAGCGAGGGGAAGAGAGTGGAGAGGCTGGCGGTCGGAATATAGCTATATCTATGCGTAAGTATCTGTATCTATGCCTCAGCTGTAGTTGTATCTGCACAACTTACATAGATCTGCTCTCCCTTATGCCAAGTATTTGTTGTTCTGTGGGGAGTTTGTTTTCTTCTGTTTTTTTTTCCTTTTGCTCTGCGGGGAGTTGCGCAAAACTTTTGCCCTGTTTTTCTTGCTATTGTTATGTTATTTCATCTGCTTCTTGCAGAGTTATTTTCCTTGATAGTAGCCAAAAGTGAAAAGTTTTGCACACAAATTTTCTTCAATGCTGTTTTTGTGTGTGATAATTGGCTACGGCCACGCCTTTTGCCATTGTTGTTTGATCTGCGGGTCAAAGTTTAAGTCAAATTCAATTGATTTCACTTTTCTTTTTCGAGCGGGGGTTTGGAAGTTAGAAGTTTTTGAAAATTCCATGAAATACATGTGGTTTTTCACCATTCCCGTATGTTTGTTGTAGTTAGTTTTTACTACGCTTCGATAGGTTTGCTTTGGATCCGTTTCGCTCACATGCTTGAGCTTTTTTCAATGCTTGTGGTTTTGCCGTCAAACTCTTGTATATATTTTTATAGCAATTTTCGATTGGGTTGGGCACAGCGTGTACAATTTAATTGCTTACCGAAAAACATCCAACTCTTTAATTGGACTTGTTGTGCAAAAGTAAAGTAAAGTAAATTGAAAATGAGAGTTGCATTTTTGTAATATCTTTTAACAACAAGAAATTGATATTCAATTTTGGTTTTCATTTTTATTGCTGACCACTAAACCAAACTGAGTTTATTTCTTTCCTAATTGATTTATGCGCGTGCTTAAAGTTTATTAATTAAGTTAAACAAAAGAAGTTTTATATTTATTGAAAATTTGTACGGTCCAGTAATAATTACTAACTATTTAGTTATTGGTTTTATAAGTCTTACGTGGCCTTGTTTTTTACTGATAGAAGCTATCAGGTATTTAAATATATATTTAAATTATTTATTAAAAGTTTTAACAGTCTGAGTTTAGTTACTAGTTAAATATTTTTGTCTCTTTGTTTTTATTCTTATGTGGAAGCTATTAAATTTTTTCTTGTAATGTTTATGGCATAGAAGGAGACATCTTCGACATTATAAATAATATGTATTCTAGACCAGCATCCGCAGTCGAGTTGATATAGCCATGCTCGTCTGTCCGTTTGTTCCCTCCCTCTTTCTGTTGCACGCAGTACCGGCCAGATCGGACCACTATATCATAAGACAATCCGTCGAAATGTTGGCTAGATAATTATTAATATTAAGATAAGTTGATCAAACTCAATTCACTTGTTCCATTATGATTCTTATATGTATGCAATCTGAACAACATCGGATAATTATGTTATATACCTGCTAGAGGAATGGTCGAAAAATATTCGCAAAATATTCCGTTGTCGAAGATATTTCAACAAACTCAACATTTTCGTGCTGCAAGTTTTTCACATTTTTGTAAAAGGGAAATTTCCACTATAGGCTATCCTTACTTTCTCGTTTTTATTGATATGTCTTAAGCCATTTTTATGTGATTAGCATTTATTTTTCAACTTTGAACAAAAGCAATAAAATATTTTTCAAATATGTGTTGTCAAACACACTTTTCCGCAGTTTAGCAACCAACTGTCAACTTTTCTAATTTCTAAACAAACTCTGTTTAGCTGCCACGCATAAAAGTTTGTTAAATTTTGCAGTTTTCCATGCGAATTTTCAATTTAAATTTCCTTTTATAGCGGGCGCCTGCTTTGCCTGCTTTTCTCTCGCTAAATGACTTTATGCATATTTGATATTTTCTTACGTTCAACTTTTGTTGAATGTTTTTCTGAGTTTTGCTGCCGTTGCTGCTGCTGGTGTTGCTGCTGCCTCTTCCACGCCTAATCAAGGAAATAATATCAAGTTCTGGTCTCAGTTGCACTTATGACAATGCAGCAGTCAAAGCTGGGCGTCGTTTGGCTTTTGGGGCGTCAGCTTGTGGATTGGACTCGTCAAATGAATTCTTTAGGGGCTTTGTTTGGCCTGACGGGTCTGGTCTGGTCTGGTCTGGTCTGGTCTGGTCTGGCCTGGCCTAATAAGCATCCTTGGGGAAATTATGATGAGCAGAATTCAATTTCGTGTTTAATTTGCCAGTGAATCCGTTTCTTATGCAACTGGCTTCAACCCCACGCTACGTGCTAGGTTTCATTTATTTATTATTTTTTTGTTGTGTATAAGTTTTTCTTTTCGGCTACTTTTGTGGCAGCTCTTTGTTTGGGGCTAGCAAATGTTTTTTTTTTATTGTCTGCAGTTTCTTTGCTTATCTTCTAAATTTTGCTCTGGCTTCAAAATGCAAATCTGCTTTGCTTTGCTTTTGTTTTTCTTATGCTCCTTTGCTTGTTTTTCCTTTTTTTCTTTATATACAAATAAATTTGAATATAGTACTTATTATACAAAGCTGTGCTGCATTTGCTGCCTTTTGGCATTTTTCTCAGCCACGCTGTTAACCACAATGAAAAGTATTTTTTAATTTAACCGCAAAGTTTTCTTTACATATATATAAATATATTTGTCTTGTGATTTTTGTTGTTGTTGGTCGCAAATGAAACGCTAAAGTGATTTTTATTAAAAGTTTTCTACATTTTTTATTAAAAATAAAAAGTAAACTTTTTAATCTGCTTGCTGTTAACTTTACATTTTGTGGTTTCGCTTTACAGATGCGCGCCGTAGGTTAATTAAATTTAAATTTGTTTTTTTTTTTTTTGGTTTTGAGTATTTCACTATTTTTTTATTTTTGTTTTTTTTGTCTTGCATTTAATATGCGCAAAGTTGCCCAAAAGTTAATTAGACTGCATTAAAATGCAGCGAAGACACATTCACGCGCTCTTCTTCACTTTTTTTTTGTTGTCGCACTCAAAATGAATTATCCTCGGCTGCTTTGGGCCAAGTTCTTTTAGCCCCAACGCAATTCTTATTGCAATTCATTATCATTCACATATTTATGGGCTGCGGCGTCGCTGGTGCTCTTTCTTTGCCTAATCAAAAATGCCGAGCGCAATTGCTGTTGCGTATCCGTCTCTTGCCCAGCAATCATTCACACCTTTAAGCTGCAGCTGTCAACGCTCACATTTGCCCAACTCCACCCCCTGCTCAATTCCCCAGCAGCTGCCTTTGTGCTGTAGCTCCCGCGGGGGACTCCAGAGGCAGCGCGCGTTAGGGCTGCAAAGCCCAACTGACTCAATGGGCCGCAGCGAAATGTTTCGTTGTCTGAATGGGCTCACAAATCCCAGCCTGTAAAAACAAAATGGCCAACAGCCATCTCCAGTCGGACGGCCACACCCTCCGCCCACGGAAGCTGACAACGACGCTGCGACATCGCATTGTGCCACTTTTTACAGCTGTTTCCGGCGCAGTCGGAAATGTTTTTAATTTTAATGCAAGGGCTGCACGGTTTTATTTTTGTATTATTATTTCATTTATGCGCATATTTTACTCGTAAAGTTTTTTATTCTTTATTTTTTTTTTTTTTTTTTTGCGTCCTATTTAAAAAACAAAAACCCATTGACATATTGCTGTAGCTTAACTTTTTGTCTGAAGCTCAGCTTGATATGTTATTAATGTATTTGAAGTCTTAATCAATAATTAAAGCAGAGCGTATAAATATATTAATAATAATAATTTCACTGAACTTAAATGTAATTTAAGCCAAGTTTTAACAATTTAAATCAATTTTGTACAAAATATTTTTATACTTTGTCTTAAAAAGTAAAATTATATCACAAAATACATTAAAAAAATATGAAAAATTTAATAGATTATTTACATTTTTATTGCCATATTTCGCCTGATTATAAAACATGTCAAAATTCTTACTTTTTTGCACAATTTTTGCCATTTCGATTTGAGCGCCTTATCAAAAATGCAGAAACATGAAATGCAATTCTCAAGTTTGAATTGTGTGTCATATATTTTGTTGATGCGGCTGCGGCTGCTGCTGTTCCTACTGCTGATGCTGCTGCTGCTGCAGCTGCTTTTGTTGTTACAGCTGCCAAAGAAACTTTTATGAGAAATTGAACGTCAAGTCACAGTCGTTGTGGGAGGACACGATCCTCTATATTTCCATTTCCACTCGCAACTTCATCTCCACAGTTACTGCTGCTGCTGCTTCTGCTGTATTTTGCATTATTGCCATGCCATAACAGCCTGCGGCATTGCATTTGAAAGTTATCAGACAAAAAATAAAAGAAACGAAAAGGGAACTAGCAAAGAACTAGAAATATGGATGAAGAAATTGTTTCACATTTTTTGTTGTGGCAGCAGCTGTTGCAATTCACAATTCGTATACCCTGTAAGCATAAACATGAATCAGTTTGTTTCCATACATAACTCGACAATTTAAAGATCTATACTTATCATATTTGGTGTACACCGAATTAAATGAGCCTAATTTAGACAAAAGTATATTTTAACTTAATCTATATCTCTGATAAATTTTAAAATAAGTTTTTGAATGTCTTACAAAACGTCATCCACAAATGACAAAAACATCTTTCGTGTTATAAGGAGAATTTTGTAGTTTATAAGGCATAATTTCGTTGTATATCTACTTGGTTGTTTACAGCATCCTCTTCTTGTTTGGCTTGTAACTAAAAGTTACTTATTTGAGCTCGATTTCAGTGGTTGAGTATTTTCCAATTGCTATGCTGCAGGCGGTAGTCGGGCGTGCGCGGTGCTGATTGCTACCGACATACCTCAAATTGTTGTCAAGTTTCTCAACTGCCATATCTGATGAGATGTTGTGTATGTGTGTGTACGTGTGTATAGCTGGCATCAGCACTTCATCTTTTTTGGCCCATCATCTTATTGCAAAATATTGGCAACATTTGTTGCTTCTTGTGCCACATTTTTTTTAGCCTCTTTGTCAGGCTCAGAGCCAATCGCGTTGCTCAGCTGCTTCCATCTTTCATTGTTGTTCAGAGGCGATAATAATTTTGCTTTATTATTTTATTTTGGTCTGTGTGGGGAAAGCCTTTTGTTATTGCATATGCGATAATTGGCGCATTTTTGCCACTTGCAGCTTTTCGGCTTTTATATCTCGTGTCAAAATCTTCATCTCTGACAATATTGACAATTGTCAGCTTGTTGCAAAAAAAATACATATATCGTCAGGCAATTTTATTCTTATCATCATCAACATCAATATCATCATCGTCCTTATCGCTCATCGTTATGGTCTGCATTTTGGCATTGTGTTAAGTGCGTGTAATTGAGTGTGGCTTTCAGTGGCATTGATGGCCCCTTGAAAAACTTGATTGAGTGCCTACTGACGGATGGACGACTGGCCACTCGGGACGGCTTTTCTGATTGACCAAACAATATACATAAATGTCAACCTCCTCCATTCGGTTGCTGTAAAAGTGAGCAAATGAATGGTGGTCAGTGCGTATGAAGTTTTGACTTTGACGTATTTAGTCATCTCTACAGCACAGCCAGTGACTAATTTGTACAAGTTTGCTCCTGCTTTTTGAATAGAACGGCCGTTCACGTGCAAATTGTAGCAGGGACGAATGCTAGAGTGTTGGTTTAAATCAGATAAATCAAAGATGAACTTCATTCTGTAAAAATTGGAAGCTCAGAGCTTAGATTTTGGTGGAATTTGTATCTAAATGTTACCTACTTAAGTATCGATACATCAGGGCACTGGTATTCGATAGTATCGACTCTTGGCATCATATATTCGATTTATTACATGCATGTTTGGCATTTCATTTAATTTAAGTAGCGCATTCGTTTCATTGCCTCTAAAAAAGATATGGAAAATTAGAACACTAAAGAGCTTCTTGTTTTAACGAATCCTCTGTCACAATCGTTAAAGTTTTAAGTCACTCATGCAACCAAATTTAAGGAGCCTTTTAGCATCACTTTCGTAAACGTTTTAAAACTCCGATGCAGGCATTTAATATATATAAAATCTCTGTCAATTCCTAAATGTTTTAAACACTCACGCAAGCAAACAATAAAAGGCTTTTTCTTTTACTATTGCTCCTTACGCCACATTCGTGAATGTTTAGCTGGCTTCTAATGAACCCAATTACTTACAGTATCAGTTAATGCACAAATGACCCCAAAAAGTCACTCATAGTAAGCATGTCCCAAGCAATTCGTAATTCCCTAAATGTCACATTTAGCCCTCCCTTTCGCTAACCTAGCTTTTCTGCTACATTTTAAAAAGAGCCTCGGGCTCATATCAAATCCCAAAATGCAGGCCCCCAAGCAATCACTTGCAAAAACTTTTCTCATGCTGCTTTTTCGCATGCTTTTCTCATGCCACTTGTCAGCGTTCAAAGATGCATGCGACATAAATTGGCGTTGCCACATCGCTTACGACTCTCTCTCACACACACACACACACACACAGCTGACAGTTGTTGCTGTGGCGGACATTGTGCAACTGTCATCGGCGCTTGTCAGCTCAACTAAGCATTTAATTTCGACGACAATTTTAGTGGCCGACAAGCCAAGAAACAAGAGCAGCCCTCGACACCCCACCCCAACCCGCTTTGCGGCTACTTTTCATGATTGTTATTGTTGCACAATATGCAAACTGTTTAACTGCTGACGTTGGGAAAATTGTAACTGTAACAAAAGACAACACAAGACTTGTCCCAAACACAATGCCAAATGGCCAGGAAATTGAATTAGCTGGGAAACTGCGAACGGCGACTGCAGAAAAAATAAAAAAATCAACGCTGTTAGCAGTCAAGTCAAGTCAGTTAGTGCTCTAAAAAACGAACTGTTAAATTTTTTAAAGGCTTTCATACAGCTTTTGAATACCCTGTAGGAATAAAAATGTGCAAAAAGAGGGTATTCAAACCATCAGTCTTGGCATAATCAGATCAAGTTTGGAAGAAATATGTAGATTAAAGATTATTGAGATATAAAAACATGCTATAAAGATTAGACTTAAATCTTTGCATTTTATAATATACACAGAAGTTATTCAATATATTATTATATTATAATATACGCAGATATCAAGTCCAGGGTATTTTGCTAAACCTTACATCAACTCTTCTATAAAATTATGTAAATGTCATAGTTTACATTTCAAGTATAGGATATCCTCTTGGTCGCAGCCCTTTAGCTTTCTACATTTATGCACTACGCAAATTAATTGCATGCACTGACAGAAGTACTAAAGAAAACTAAGAACTGCAACTCTGGTTCACCCTTTCCCCTGGTCACCTCTTGCTCACTGCTCCTCTTTACACTCTTTTGGCTAGCAACAAAAAACTTATTCAATTAAACTTTTACGCGCGACCTAATAGCACAAGCTTCTAATTTTGTCTGCTGCTCGTGCTGTTCGTGCTGCTTTCTGTTCCTGGATTCAACGCCGGGTTTCCCAGTGCCTGCCGCCTCCTCTTGTTGGTTGGGCTAAGACCAACCTTGGACGGACGTCCAACAGTGTGTGGCAGCATAAATTTTGTTTTAAATGGAATTTCATTAAAAAATAATATTTGCTGCGCAGCTTCATTTGCTGCAACAACCGCCCACATGCTGTGCAGGGGCGTGGCATGCCACTGTTGCAACAGTCTGTCGACATATGTGACATGGGTTTTAAATGCTGCCGCTGCTGCTTCTCCTCCTCTTCCTCCTCCTCCTTTCTCCCCCTGCCTTTTCCTACAACAGCTGTTGTCCTTTTGCCAGCTTTGCCTTCAGCTGCATGCAAATTAGTGCGTTATTATACTGCACTCTGGCAATCTGGCAACTCTGGCTGCCAGGCCCTGATATATGTTGCACTGTTGACTTCTGTCTGCTCTGCGTGTGCGGTGGAGATAGAGTATGCGGAAGGGACGGTGTGGTGCAAGTATTTAAACAAAACTATTTCCGGGAGAGACTGATTTATGTGGCACGCACACACACACACACACACACACAACTGAGCGTTGACTCTTGCTTCATTTGATTAAATTTGTTGACTGCAACAAAAAGGCTGTTGCCGCATGTTTAATTGCCTTACCAACATTCCGGACGAATCTCTTTCACAGCATCAAGTGCTCAGCTCAGCTTCCAGATGCTTTACGGCTTGCTCTAAAAATTTCTGCTTGCACAATTTTTCCATCAGTCTAAAATTGCACTTTTTCGCTCTTAACAAGCTAATTGAAAGGGGTACAGACAATGCACTGTCCTCTGCTCAAAGCCACTCAACTGGCCAAAAATTTCGAATTTTCGGAAAGCCTCTGCTGCTGCTTCATGTCCAAAAAGAACGCACTCCATTGTGATGCTATCAACTAGCAGCTGCTGTTGGCAATCAATATTTGCTTTCATTGTCTGAAATCTGATTGATAGCTTAACTAGCCGTAAAGGGCGAAGCTATGGCCAGTATCGGGAGTTTTAACTTAAATTAAATAATTTGATATAATTGTTCTTATAAAATCACAATATCACATGAATACTGCCTACCCTTTCGATAATAGATTATGAAGCCAAATTAGGCCCAAATTTATTAAGTACATTTAAAACAATTACACAAGCTGGTAGCCTTCTTACATTTAAAAAATTGACAACTTCTTGTTGGTTCAACGCTCAGACACTACTCAGACTCATGATTTAACATATGCTTAAGAGTATTCAGAAAGCACGTCTTGATGCTCGCTTTTCGACTCATAAGAAAACTCAAGTAAAATGTTCAGATTTCTAGCTCTTGTGCTTTGATCTGTGCATTGACCTAGACACAGAAAGGACAACCTCTTCATATATATATCAAACTATTTAAATTTCCTGAAAAGTGCTGTCAACTAGCTGCGTTTTATGTCTCGTTGCATGTTTTGTGCTCCTTTGCAGATGGCATGCCAGCAGTTTCTTTGGGATTACAATTTGGTAGCAACTGATTTGTCCTTTACAACGCAACCAAATGTCAATCCAATTCGTTTATTCTCGTTTTTAGCCACAATATTGTGCAATTTGTGAGCACTTTCAAGTGAAGTCCTTTCCCACTCGGAAGCCCAACCCCCCGGCTCAGCAAATGATATGCAACAGTTACTCTCGCCCCCTGATTTTGGATTTTGTGCAATTTCTTGTAAATTTAATTTCCTGTTTTACATTTTTGCCCATTCGCCTGCGACTACGTGAGCTGCTGCCATTCGAGAGAGAGAACGAGTGCGAAAGCGAGCGAGAGAAAGCATTCTAATTCTTCATCCCGCTCTATTTAGTAGCTATTTATCTCCTGCTCTGTCGCCAATTGTTGACATTTCATTGGCTGTCTATTTCTTTTTTCGGGGGCTTTACTTAGTATTCAGTTCTTGACATTCTCATTTGCATTTGCATTTGCACACTTTTGTCTTCACGATGATGATGTTGATGCTGATGATGATTTCTTCATTTCGTATGCAGCAGCATTAATTTCCTCATTCGTTCGAATTGCACAACGTTTGCCACATTTTGAACTAGTTTATTTTTTCTTCTGGCGGCTGCTGTCAATTTTACTGATACTCCCTGGTATAGGAACATTTTCCTTTGAATTTCGAATTTAATTAGTTTTTCATTCAGTTCGCATGATCCACAATGTTTCTAAATTGCCAATTAGTGCAAAGTTAAACTTGGTTATTTGATATATTTATATTTTGTGTAGAACTTCGCCAATTCGATATGCAAAATTGTGGGTATTTGTATTTTTGCCCAAGGAAATTACTCAGCACACAAAAACAACCCGCAAAGTGCTGCCGCTCACTGAAAGCCAACGAAATAATGTGCAAAAATGTTTTTTTTTTTCCTCTAAATGAGACGTGAATTTTATGTCTGCGTCCCTCTCAAGGCAAACTAATTGATTTTAAAATAAATAATGACTAATCACCACCTGCAAAACAGCAGCAGCAGCAGCGACCGAAATACAAAAAAATATGCAAGTCGTGCAGCTAGTTCTGCTAGTGTATTTTCGTATCAATTGACAGATACCCTGTAATAGTGGGTTATTTTATATATATCTAAGCGGGCATAGGGGCAAGTGCGGGACTGACCAGTCCATTCCAAGCTATGCGTTGATCAAATTTTATTTTATTATTATTATTTACTACCATATTATATTTAATTATTATATAGTTTTGTATATAATAGAGGAATAGAAAGTATTTGCTAGTCGTATATTGCCATTAATTCTGCTTACTTATATTTTGCTTCTCAATATTTCATTTCAATACACCTACGCGTTCCGCCGCCTTTGCCCAACCTTATATCCTGCCATCAATTTCGCTATGCCTTAAATGTCGACACGGGTTAACTAACCCCATCCCCCGCCCCCCTCCAGCCTGGCCCCATTCAACGTACCCCTTCGCCGAGCACCGAAAACGCGTTTCCTTTTCACCTTGTGCCCAATGTGCAGCATTTTACCCCGTTTCTCGCTCATCCGCACACAGCTTGATTAATTGAAATTTCACTCACTGTCAAGGTGTGTGTTTCTGTGGGTGTGTGTGTGTGTGTGAATATTGGGCGTACTGTGTGTTTGTGTGGAAGGCGTGGCCGCTGTGAACTATAGTGTTGGAGTTGCTCGACGTTGGGAAAACTGTTTGGAAATTAATTGAGTGCGCTAATTTTGGCAAAAGGGTTTTCTTAATTGATGACGTGCCCTCTCGCTCAACGAACTAGTTCCATGATTTGAAAAAGGAATTTTCAACTAATGAATTGTGTTTCGGGTTAAACACCTTCTACGGTGTGAACGATATAACCCTTGCGGATTAAAGCAATTGATTTTTAGTTTTAAATATTTAACGTATATTTTTATTAAATAGTGAATATATATGGTAACATGTCTGCATTTATTTAATAATATAATAATACTTTCTACTGATTTCCTAGTTATTTGTTAACTGATGTTTTTATGCTCGTCATTTTGTGCCACAATTGAAGGCCTGCCCGTTTTAGTTAGTTTTGAGTTTGTGGCGCATTAGCTTATTTATTTGGCCAAGCGCAATTTGCATTGAAAATTTGCAGCATTAATATATATATTTATATATATAAATATATATACACATATTTGTTTGCTTCCGAAATGATTTTCAAAATGTTTTCAGCAGCGATGCGTGGGCTGCTCGCAATAACATTTCAACTCTCTGTGAGGCTGCGGTAATTGCGTTTTAAGTGGCATTTGGCACAATGAATAATGCGCCAAAAACTGCCGGAATTTGCCGCAGACACAAAGCCATTTAAACGCCCCACCCCCCAATGGTCACGTCGGGGGATCTTCAGTAGATTTTTCAACAGGCCAACAGGTTGAGCCATTTGTGTGGCTAAAAATGTATTCAAATTGTTGTCTGAAATTCAGGCCAGGTGCTAAAAATTGGTAAGAAGTCCGCAGTTGTGTTCGTTTAACTAGCAAAAGTTACTCTACAATCGGCTCTAGGTAAATTGAGGCCGGGCTTTCCCGCATCGTTGTCAAGCACAACGAGTTATTATAAAATACGTAGGGTATATGCGCACTTAATACTAGATATCCCAACGCTAGCTCTTATAGACTCCGAGTTATGCTTAGTCTAAGCTTATGTGTTGTACCACACACAATAACATACTTATTCACGACTGAAAGATCTGTACTTACAGGGTATATCTACTACTACAACAAATGATAAAATATACACATTGAATAGTTGAGCTAGAAAAAGTAATGAACCAGAAATCTAAATTACACTTGCTGTTTTCTTGGCTAGAAGAGCCACAGTTAAGTAAACACATCGACGCCCAACTCACTCCCCTGCCCACATACACAAACACACACACACACACCCTAATGATATACCCATGAGTGTTTGCGCCCCCTCGCCGCCCTTCTCTGGCCACATGCCAGCGCTCAAGTGAAGCGTTACTCCTGCTGTTGCAGGATACGTACAGACAAAAAGCTGGCAGAAAACTTTGTTTGGCTTGTGCCAATATTCAAAAACTGATTTTCATATGTCTTTTAAGTTTATTTGCGCTCAAGCGTAACAGCCACGCCCCCAACCCTAATGCCCCACTGGAAAAAATCCCCAGCAGCCTGCTGTTAGGCTGCAGAGGCTCTCTTATCGTTTTCTGCACACGCATAAAAGTTGCTGCTGTCTGTTTCTTTAAACTTTTTTATTGGCAAGAATTTAATTCACCCTAAAAGATACACACACTAACTCAGGCACACTCACATGAAATAGATACTACGCAGAATTTAGCTGCTGTGCCTGTGCCAGAATGTTAATACCCTTGCAGAGTGTATTTTAATTCTGTCATGAAATGCGTAACAAGCCCATCGAATATATATATTCTTGATCAGCACCAGCTGTCGAGCCATGTTCGACTGTCTATCAAACTAGTCGTTAAAAAAAAATATTAATCGGCGGAATTGGAGAAATCTCATGAAAATATTTAAACAAACTTGACATGTGATACTTAGTTTTACTATGCTCATTTTATAGAATCGATTTATGAATATCATGTACAGCCACACCATATAACTCCTATTGTAAGAATAATTCAAAGAATAAGCTAAAACTGCAAGTCAAATGTCGAAAAAGAACATTACTTCTTCGGTGTGCTGTGGCTAACCCTGCTTGCTTGATATCCCTCTTGTATTCTTTTTCTTCACTTTTTGAAAAGCGATTTTGAATGCAAATTTTATTGGCACAAGAGCCTGGCGATAGGCAGACTCCTCGCTGTGGGACTTGTCTCCTGCAGGAGCTTCTTCATGCGCTGTGCATGCAGATTAAAATCAATTCAATTTGCTGCAAGCCAAGTAAAAGTGGTAATCATTATGCTCAGCTCTTTGTTTTTGCTCTTTTCTCTCGCTTCACATATTCTCTCTTTGCACTTTACATAATGAGATTTTAAGCAAGTGCGTTGGGTAGCTTCTCCTCTCCAAAGGGGGGGAGTACTTTGCCGGCGGAATACTTTGTGCTATTCGGAATGTTGGCCACAAATTTTCGCAGCAGCTTAGAAATTCGCATTCTTTTACATATGTTGGCAATTTTGCCTTTGAAAATGCCTTCAGATAGTCGAACCAAGGGTCACAGCTTTTATCATGAAAGTAAATTTACCGGAATTTGTGATAGAAACTTTATTCTAAATATTTTATTTTATTTTAAACGAATTTAAGTTCACAATATGGCAAGTAATTACATTTTGAACAACCTAATGTCAGAGTAGGCACGAGTAATGAAGCGAGAAGAGAAACAAGAAGGAAAAAAGCAAGAAGCGAAGCGAGACACAAAGCAAGAAGCGAAGCGTAAAGTGGCAAACACCAGCAACCACAGCGTGTATATGCTTTCTTACGCGAACACTCAAAAGCTGTCTAAAAAGAAGCGAAGCGAGAAGCGTTGTGCATAAACTAAGCACAGCAAACAGAGCCCCTTCTATAATTAAACATGAATAGATATAGATACATAGAAATATGTTTACAATAGGACCAAATGTAGTTACATTTTGTTTAGAAAATAAAAAAAGGATAAAAGAGAAGGATAAGTGACAGCAGCCACTCGCTCGAATCTCGAAATGCTTTTAATTATCAGAATGTTTGTCAGAACTTATCCTTTGTTTCATATTAATACTTGTTCTCCTTACTTTTAAGCTTCGTTCTGTATATCCTCTTAGGCATCTCTCACCTCAACCGTTTCTTTATTACTTCTCTGATCGTTTCCTTTGAAGTTTTTTTTTTATCTCTTATCATTTCATGCTTATGTCAATGCCTTTATCCAAGTTTTTCTCTTAACTCATCCCCTTGTTTCTCTCTTAGCGGCTGTCAACTTATCTGTTTTCATATTTGTCTAATAAATTTTGTCGTCACTTCTCCCGTAACTTCCTTTATATTTTGTTGCAATGCTCTCGCATTATATTGATCCGCTTTCTTTGTGTGCTCTTCAAATAGCTCTTTTAACACATTAAATGTTTTTCTGATCACTTCTATTCCACAATTATTCCCATCATATTTCCATTTGGTATCGATTGCTGCTTTCCTGGTTTGCCATTTACTCAAATTTGGTTTGCCTACTTACATGGCCGCAGCTAAAGTCAATTACATGCCCCAAAAATAGCGTGAAAATTGCAATCACTTTGCTTTTACCATTTTAGCGAACCCCCGCGCGCACACAAGACTCTCTGTTGTTGCAGCGTTGCAGGCAATCAACAAATTAAAATAAGGAAAAATGTTGCATCATTTCAATAAAATGAAATATAGCAAATTTCCAACTGCGGCTTATCGACTTTTGTTTCCCGCTGCCAGCCACTAAATGCTCCAGAGATTTCGGTTTAGTTCGCAATGCCAACATTTATTAAAATCGCTGACACATATGCCAGGCGGGGAAGTGGTGGGAAGTGGGCTGAGCTGTTGGTCTACTGCCGCTGACAAGGCGTGGCTGCTGCTGCAACTGACATACAAATATTTCATAAACATTGCGACGACAAGAACGACGCAATTAAATATGAAAACGCAGCAAAGGCTTTTTCCATACCCTAACTATGGGTGCTAGATACAAGTCAGCAGGGAGGTTTTACAGTCATGCAGTCTTATATGCTAGATCAGATTCTGTTTATGCTCATAGTTCAGTTATAATTATTTTAAAATAATACAATTATAATTGACGATCACGGCAATTAGAAATTTATCTATGAAACTATTTAATTCCATATGACATATGCAAATTTCAAAAAGTATGAAGTGTATTTAGTTTTCGGCAACCTGAAGCGGTAGCTAAGCTTCACCTTCTCGTTTCTCATTTAATAGCCCACAGGCGTAGCGCAGCAATAAATTTCCACCAACCCACAAAATATTGGACCCCTGACAGACGGTGGGGCGCCTTATGCACTTGGCCCAAAAGCAGCCGGAAGTTGGGCACATGCTGCAGCAGCTTGTGATAACGAGAAACATCATGTTTATCAAGCAGCAGCAGCTCTTGACTTGTGTTTGTTCGTTTGCGGGTGAAACTCAAATAAATGCGTCACTTTTGCTATGCTGCCTCTGGCCTGAGTGGCAGCGGCTAATTAAAATCTCAAAAGAGCTGCGAACAGCAAGCGGCATGGCGTATACGTAATTAGTCAGTTGCTGTCTCTTTCTTTAAACACATGCTACTTCCTCTTTATTCTTTCATTTTTTGCATATTTTTTTTTCAACTCTCTACAGACATAAATCACGCATACGCCGCGTTTTTCGCGCCACATTCATTGATTTATGTGCGCCCAGATATTTGTGCTGCAATTTTTAAGTAACTTTTATTATGACAAACGTGGCTTTTGCCTACGTGGCATGTGTTCAGGGCGCCAGCTTATATATATATTTTTTTTTTTATGTCTTGCCCAACCTTGTGTCTTGGCTGAAGCTGCGTTTTTGGGCACATTCGCTGTACATTTGATAAATGGCCCGCTATAAAATGGCCACTTAATGGAGCCTGGACTGCGATAAAAGCCTAGCAGAGATTTCTAGAGATAGACAGCAGACAGTCGTCGATAAATTGATATAAAACAAGGGAAAAGTAAAAGAATAATTATTTTGAATATCATTTGCTCCAAAATCTTGATATGTACACATATTTGTTGGATTATCTTTATGGATCGAAGCAAAGGAAGTTGCAAGAATTAATGGATGAGTTCAAATTTATTGAGAATATCAATATTTTTCTTATTACATTTTCATTTTATGGACGTTACATACTGTTGATTCTCTTATATTATTACCTTCTTTTATAATTGTTTAACATATTAAAAATTGAAGAGCACGTCGTTTAGTTTCTCCTCCTACTCAACCGGTTAGTTTTTTCATGATGTCCACTTGTGTTGCTGTTCGTTTCCTTGACTTTGAGGATTTCCTCTTATGCTGCTTTCCAGACCGGATAATTGCTTCTTTTTTTACTGGCTTTTTGGAGTGTATTGTTCTTGGCCTATGCTCCATAACAGATATATCTTCATCTGGCCTATAATCATAACGGTAGCATTTTAGTTCCTCATTTTCAATTAGGCAGAGATAGCTTGAATGTCCATCATATCCATCTCCTCCTTCGTGTCCTCCTCCACCTGATCCTCCAGCACCTCCAACACCTTCTCCTTCGCCACCTCCTCCATCATCACCTCCTCCTCCACCACCTCCTCCTTCTCCGCCACCTCCTACTTCTCCTCCGCCACCTTCCCCTTCTCCTCCACCACCTCCTCCTTCTCCTCCACCACCTCCTCCTTCTCCTCCACCACCTCCTCCTTCTCCTCCACCACCTCCTCCTTCCGCTCCGCCACCTCCTCCTTCTGCTCCGCCACCTACTCCTCCGCCACCCCCTCCTCCTCCTCCTCCTCCGCCACCCCCTCCTCCTTCGCCACCTCCTCCTCCGCCACCTCCTCCTCCGCCACCTCCTCCTCCTCCACCTCCTCCTCCTCCACCTCCTCCTCCTCCTCCTCCTCCGTCACCTCCTCCGCCACCTCCTCCTCCGCCACCTCCTCCTGCTCCGGCACCTCCTCCTCCACCACCATCACCTCCCCCATCACCATCACCTCCCCCACCACCCTCACCCCCGGGACCACCACCGGGTGCACCTCCTGGTTTGCCTGCAGGTGCACCGCCTGGTTTGCCTGCAGGTGCACCGCCTGGTTTGCCTGCAGGTGCACCACCTGGCTTGCCTCCAGGTGCACCGCCTGGTTTGCCTCCAGGTGCACCGCCTGGTTTGCCTGCGGGTGCACCGCCTGGTTTTCCTGCAGGTACACCGCCTCCGGGTTCGCCTGCGGGTGCATCGCCTCCGGGTGTACCTCCTGGGTTTCCTCCTGGTTTGCCTCCAGGTGCATCGCCTCCGGGTGCACCTCCTGGTTTGCCTCCAGGTGCATCGCCTCCGGGTGTATCTACTGGTTCGCCTGCGGGTGCACCTCCTGGTTCGCCTGCGGGTGCATCTCCTGGTTTGCCTGCAGGTGCACCTCCTGGTTTGCCTGCAGGTGCACCTCCTGGTTCACCTGCGGGTGCATCTCCTGGTTTGCCTCCAGGTGCACCGCCTGCGGGTGCATCTCCTGGTTTGCCTCCAGGTGCACCGCCTGCGGGTGCATCTCCTGGTTCGCCTGAGGGTGTACCTTCTGGTTCACCTCCGGGCGCACCTCCTGGTTTGCCGGCAGGTACACCTCCGGGTGCACCTCCTGCGGGTGCATCTCCTGGTTTTCCTGCGGGTGCACCTCCTGGTTTGCCAGAAGGAGCTCCTTCGGGTGCACTTCCTGGAGCGCCTTCGGGTGCACTTCCTGGAGCGCCTTCGGGTGCATTTCCTGGAGCGCCTTCGGGTGTACTTCCTGGAGCGCATTCGGTTGCACTTCCTGGGCCTCCGGGTGCACCTCCATGACCTCCGCTGGCATTGTCGACTCCATCTGGAGTGTTAACGTCACACCAAATTACTGCGTTCCAAAGCATTTCTCTGATGGACATGCCATCCAGCAGCCCCTTTACTATCACCGCACTGATATCGATAGCCAGTTGGGTGTTGATGGGTTTTCCTTCGTTAAACTGTTCTACTTGCGCAAGGACTATTTTTGTGGCAGCAAGGGCAGCCGTTTGCAAGAGGTCATCTTTATCGGCTCGCACCACGCAATGCTCCATCGCCTGCCTTTGCTTGGCCGCAACAAAATATGTAGTGCCGCCCCAGAAAAAAAAGAGGAGCAGCAACAGACGCTATACGGCAAAAGTTGGGATGTAAATTTCAGTGCGACGATGCATACAAACCGTAAAACAATTTACCATTCTTTGTGGTGACTTTTTAAAAATACTTCTTAGATTATCGTGATCTTCCTGCTGAAACTGTGTTTAAGTATAGAATGAAATCAAAATATGTCGTTCATAGGGCCCTAAAGCCAATTTTTCAAGCCTATTTAGCTGCAATTTTATATGGTTTATATGGTATATGATATGGTATAACATATTAGAAATCCCTTATGATATAATAGAAGCTGTTTTCAATATTAGGTATACGACATTTGCTAGTCTTATCTTATTGTATTGTTGCTGCGAGTTAAGAGATTTCTCTTTATTTTTTGCTGATTTCTTTTTCATAGGGTATTTTGTGTTTTCGGTTACCTCACATCGCAACGTTTTGCTGCTGAGCAAACTAAATATAATTCACTGACATTGACCTTACTGCCACATCGCAATGTGTAAAGGCAAATTGTTTTGCTAACGCCCCCTGGCGGCGTGGAAAACTAAAAGAAATAAATGAAAATGCAATTAATGAAAAACAGTTTTGTTGGTCTCTGTGTTGTTCAGATCGCATCGAATCGAATTGTATTGGAATTGTTTCTGGCCTGGTCTACATCATAAATATAATCTTTAGCAGTGAAAAAGCAATTTTCAATTTCGAAATGCTCGCGGTCGTAGCCCGTGTTTATAAATTGAATATATGATTCGCTGTTGTTGATCGTTTTTGCTATAATATTTTATACCCTCTAGCGAAGTGACGCTGACCTCAGGCAACTCAGCAGCGGCTACAGCAGCTAGAGCAAGGATTTTGATAGGTAAATTGTGTTCATCATAAGCAGCTGAAATTTAATAAGAATATAAGGTGTTGCCTTATAAAAGAAAAAGAAAAGACAGAACTAAAACGTTTTATATTAATAGGCGGCTACGTGGTATCTGCTAGTCGTGTTTGCATTTTATCTTCACCCATTTCAATGAAATTGTTCACACAAATAAAATTGGCAAATTATGCAAGGGGCTACGTACGTCTGTCTGTTCGTTTGTTTATTTGTCCATTTGTTTACTTGCGGCAAAGCAAATATGCAGACACTTAAATCGCAATGATGTATGCTAAGTTTTTCTATATATACTCAAGTATACATAATATAGATATATATATACATACCTATATATATATATATATATATATATATATAGCTAGACATATTTGTATTTGTTGATGACATTTGAAATGCAGCTCTTGGCAATATTTTCAAGCATTTTCACATGTCACCAAAATATTTATGCATTTTCCCTTGCTGTTTTTGCAATTAATGTATTAATTTCAACTGACAGCAAGTTGATTGCTAAATATTTATGCACACATTTATATACGCAACTGATTCGATAAAATATTTAAATCTATTTTGTGAGATTTCTACAGACTCGACTGTGGGATGGGACTTGAGGGATGGTTACATAAAAAGCTGTGAGAATTTTAAAATAAATTATCTTAACATATTTGATTTATTAACGGAGAGTCAATCAAATCTGGTAAACTCAAATTAATGCAGTCAAGGGAAATTTATTTAAACCTTTTTTAGTTTTGAAGGGAATTACTAAAAAAAATAATTAAATATAAGAATACGTTTGCCTCAGCAGAAGTTGCTCGCCCCGTTGGTGCATATACTTTTAATTTGTTTCCATTTTCAATTAGAACTGCGGCCGTTTTTCCTTTTCCTTGACAACGTTCGCCTCAAGCTGAGATTACGTAAGAGATTTATACGGGTTGCTGGTGTGTTGGTTGAGGGGGGATGCTCAGCAACAATTTCCTGGCAGAGATTTTCACTTTTTTCCGGTGATATGTGACAGTTATGAAGGGGGGGGAGAGAGGTGCTTGTGGCGTCGGATGAGGGGGGAGCTGCCTAGCCAAAGGCCAGTTCAGGCTTAAGCTCGGCACGGCAAAAAGTGTGTGAAAGTTGGCAAGAGTTTGTCATGCAATTAGAGCAACATGCGACCAAAAGTGGATGACGACCAACGACGACGACAGCTCTGGGAAACTCGCGATTGCTAAAATGCGTTTTCCGCAACTTGAAAATCAAGTTTTCCAGTCTGGCTGCTGCTGCTGCTGTTGCGAATAAAGCAACAATCAGCCAGGCAAAAGTGGTTTTCGCCAATTGAACATTTTTTTAGATCTTGTTGTTGTTATTGCAGCGAACGAAATCGAAATCAATTTTGGTATGTGCGCTGCCATAGAGCCATTGAACCACGCTCATCAAAGCCAATGTCCACAACCCAAAACCCGAAGCCCCTTAAGCCACTCCCAGTACCCCCACTCATACATACACAAAGCCATCGTCTTATGTAACCAGCATAGCAACGAGGGGCGCTTTATGACTTTTATTTGTTTATTTTCGCAGCAGCTCAAATCGAAATATGCGTAAGAGTTGCCATAGAGATGGGGGCAAAAAAACATTGTTGCAGCGAAAGTTGCCCTAGCGCACACATAGAGGGAGAAGGAGAGAGAGGATATGTCGCTGTGGCCATCGTCATGATGCTGATAGTCAGCTCTTGGCCATAAATGTTGCTGGTTGCCATAAAAAACGTAGCAAATGCCAATCGCACATTGTCTTGGCCAACACTGCACAAGTGTTCGAGAAGGAAGTGAAGTAAATGCCAAAAACAGTGTTGGATAAAATTCAAAGATATTCAAGCTGAGCAAATGTGCAAATAACATTTTATATGAAGCTTTGTAAGCGATTAAGTTTTGAAAGATGAAGAGAAAAACGCTTAGAAAAGTTCACACAATTTTCTTGAAAATTTAAGAATCAAGAGCTTAAACTAAATTACGTAAATGCTAGAGAGAGCACTGAAAGGGTGAAGAAAAGGGAACATCCATTCAAAAATTAATTTTTTTAAATTAATTTATGGAAAGAAGCTTGATTAAAGAGATGGTAGCTGCTAGGTATACTTTGTGAAAACATATTTTGACTTTAATTTATTTTAATGCATCCAAAGAAGGAAGCTATTCAAATGAAGAACATCCTCTGGATCTACTTTGTAGGGATATTTGTCGACAAAACGAAATTTAAACATTGCATATATTTATGCACGAGCACCCCTTCCGGGGGTAGTCTAGAACACTCAGGCTATTATATATCTGCTGATTTCTCAACCTTGACCATTGTTAGACCTAGAAATACATATAATTGAAATAGACAAAGGCATTTTTAAAATACCAGACGTACAAATTACAGCAGAAGAAAATAAATTTAAACTAATTAAATTTAAGCACTTCGTCTAGAATGTTGAGGCTGTATTATGTCTCAGTTTGTGGGCTGTCTGTGTACGTGTGTGTGTGTGTGTGTGTGTGTGTGTGAACCATAAATATGCCAAAATAACAATAGTCCATTCCTGTTGTAGTATCGCGCCCCCTGCACAACCAGCACCCTGCTCTATACTGACAGGCAAATCTAATAAGCATAATGAATGAAGCAGCCGAGAGGCAACCAGCTGAGTTTCTGTTTTCGCTCAACGTGTTGAACTTGTGCTGTCACCTGTAAAGGCAATGACAACGCAGACCCCCACAAACCCCCACCAACCTTCCCCCACGCCCTCATTGTTAGTCAATGAGTGTGGCCATGTGGCAAATACATATCTTGAAATTCACACCGCACTTTTGTCTGCTGCGAAATACTTTGCCTGTGTGTCTATTTAATTAATTTCTATATTAGATACACTTCATTAAAAATGTTTCAGATATGTTTTTGACCATTGTTATATATTTCTTCTATTGTTGCATTTCGTTTCCTTTTGTTTATTTTCATGTTAGCTCGAGGAATTCGTTGATTGAGCGGCACAAATGTGTGACACCAAAAGAAAAAACTACTTGTATCTTGTGTATCTATAAGATACATGCATGCCACTCGCTGTTGAGGCTCAATGCCTGCTTAATGGCTTGTAAGTGATCTATGGGCTTGGTTTTCGAGGGGGCGGTGAGGGGAAAGCGTTAACCAAACCGATTACATAATTCATCATCAAATTCCCCAAAACAAGTGACACTTGCACCGTTGGCCTCCTTGAAAAAGGCTTCAGCTCGTCGCCTCTTGTCAGCTAGAGCTGCCCCTCCCCCTCTGCTCCTCCCCCGTGCTATGCCAGCAATTAACGCACTTTGAGCTACATAAACTGGGTCAAGTATGTCGCTGCCAACAGGAGGCGCTGCGGTGGGCTGACTGAAGTTTTTGAAGTGCTTGGCACTTCGTAGTCGTCTAATGAAATGCATTTCAGTTCTCATTAGGCGGGCCATTTTGTGATTTAAACATGAAAGGTACAACACTTGGCAAAGGCTTTGTGTATGTATGTAAAAAGGTACAGTTATGTAAAAGTCTGGCTAGACCATTAATGGGTCGCAAATGTTACGCATTGATAGCCTAAATTCTAATATGCTAAGGTCACACCAAACTTTGACAGACTTTTTTCATTTCCAACAAGTTGGCAACGCTTTTCTGTTTTTAGATTTTTTATTTTCATCAAAACCGTTCTTCTTAAATTCATTCGAATTTTAATTCCCAAATTCATAAATTGTTCAATGTAAATCAAGTCGGCAGCCGTGCTCTAATCCTTGACTCTTACCTAGACCTAAGTACACAATCCCTTAATCTCAGCATACGTTTCTTTATTATGCGTGATGGCAACACTTGCACACACACATAATCTGCGAGTCATTATAGAACGTGCAGGCAACACTGGCACACGCAAAGTGAAAGCAATTTTCTCGCATAAAGTAAAATAACCTGCTGTTAAAGTGCTTTTCTTTTGTGTTCTCTAACAGCTTTACGCACACCTTTGACCTGTACGAACCCCGAGCTGTGCATCCTTCTGCTCTTGCTATATTTATACATTTGCCTAAACCCAGTCTGTGTTAATTTTGCATACAATTAGAAAGGTATTTTTTTTTATATTTTTCTGTTTTATTTTGCTCATAGAACTTGTAATGCGCTGGCACTTAATGCAATTTTGATGTTTTTGCGTCACCTGCTGTTGATTTTCAACAAAAAAAATAAAAATTAAAATAAAACTTTGCATTTGCAATTGTGGTTAAAGTTTCCTGCGTTGCTTTTGTTGGTGTTCGTTTTTTATGCCTTTGGCCATTGCAAATTTTCCTGCAGCATTTTACAAATGCGTTGGCTACCATCCCTTTCCCTGCCTCCTTCTCTCTCACTCTCTCGCTCTCTAGCATTTTTGGCGCTTGCCACAATGCCCACGTTCCACACTCATACACATACGCACATGTCGAGTCATTCTCTCTGTGCACTGTTCCATGCCATGGACCTTTAAAAGGGGCGGCAAGACGCATCTGTTGGGCATGGTTAAAGCTTTTTGGCAGCAGCAACAACCTCCTGCAACTTTGCTTTGTCATGTGCAATATTTCGTTCTTGACTGCCAACCGCTCTGGCAAAGTGTCTTTTTGTTTAAGCAACTCGATCCCGAACTCGCAACTCGACGTGAGCCATAGAAAACTCTTAAAATGGGCAAAAGCATTTAAGCAAAAAGCATTCAAAATTAGTTCCAAAGGAAGTTGGCTGCACAAAAAAAAACGAGAAGTAGTTCCTTTTTGATGTGCATATTATACTTAATAGTTTCTAAATTCACGCAAAAAGGCAATTTCAAAGTTTCAAGTAAAAACAGCTAAATTTTCGGTGAAAACATATGCTCTGCGCTCAAAAGATCTTCATTAAGTAGACAGAAATATATTTAGAACGATTTTTGTAAAATATTTATTTCTTTAAAGAAACAATAAGAATTGTTTCTCTAATGTAATTAAATTTATAAATAAAAAAGCTTTGCTTTGAAGTAAAGTTGAACGAGCTAAAAGCAGTACACACCGATATTTTTCAGTGTGTATCTGGTGTAAGAATTCAAAACTTGTCAAAAACTATCATAAAAATATAAATTCGTTGGCTGATCTGAACTATTTTTCTGATAAATAACAAAACCAGCATGGTAACACTGTTTTCATATAATATCATGGAGCAGTGTAACCGTTAGAAGCTTACATTGACAGTATTTTTAATATACCAACAGTAATTAAGAGCACACGACCTTCGATTATCGATTAGCCAAAAGGAAAATAAACAAATATCATCTGTATCCGATAATGCGATAACAATAGCAGGCCTTGCCACATTTTTGGTACATCGAGAAATGGACGAGAGAACTGAATCATAAATTCCTGAATGGTAACCGAGCAGGCTGTGAAAATTTTGGAAACCTATAGAACATAGCCAGTGTCAATTCATTCGTCAGTGGGACGGCTTACTGAATAGAGTTCCTTCAAGTCATCTCGGCAATACAAAAATAAAAAATAAATTAAAGAACAAAAGAAACAAACAAATAATAAGTAAACTTAAATCTAAGAAAATTTCTATCAACTTATCTACTGTCTGTCTCTCGTGCTTCTGTGTACATGTGCGCGCGTGTTGCTCGGTTTCTCCCGCTTATCGCAAATCTTTCAATTTGGCAATCGACAAGTGAATAATTTTCCGCAAGAGTGTGTGTGTGTGTTTAGGAAGTAAAGAAAACTGCGCGTGTGTGTGTGTGTGTGTGTGCGCGCGCTGAAGAGCTGCTGTCTGGTTGTCAATTGTAACCTTTAACCATTTATTGTTACGTAATGGATAACTTGAAGGCAAACACAACGGGCGCGTATTTGTGGCATCCGCCGCAGCAGCAGCAGCCGCAGTCGCCGTTGATGCAACAATCATCGGTGCCGCCGCCGCCGCAACAGCCGCCGCCGCCGTTGCTAAGCGGCCTGCCACAGCCCGTCCGGCGATTTGCCAGTAACAAGAATAATTATAATTATATGCAAAGTCAGGCACAAGCGGCCGCTGGCCTCATGATGGGCGCCAGTAATCCGGGCGGTCAGTTAATGGGTCTCGGTTCGCCCAATCCCAATGGCTATCGCAAGCGCCAGCCGATGAACACGGCTTATAGCCCGGGCGGTTTTCAACATAATGGTAAGGAAGTTGCCATCTTAGTATTTTTTCATATCTGAAAGTTTGTAAACGATGATGCTGCAGAAAAAGTAAATTAAAAACTGTTGAACAAATGTCAAACATAACAGAGTTGTCACACTGGGCACTTGCAGTGTTAACAACTGCAAAAAGTGCGCGTGAACAGTGTTGTAAAGCATCTTTCTTTTATTTAAATTTAAAATTCCCTGTCTGTGCGCCCAATTTACAACATTTGTCGCTAAACACATTGAATAGCTATTCAAATTGAATTCTTGTACTTACTACTCACTCACTGTTTGAATGGTGTCTTCCTTTACTATATATAAATATATATATATATAAACCATATCTTATCAAATTTCAAACTCTTGAACAAAATGACTAAACGATATTTTCTTTCTTTCCACTTCTCTTTTCTCATTACAGGTAAGTCGCTGTTTTCTATACCCGAAAATGTTGTTGTGCTTGAGAGCCGTAAGTACATTTCAAAACTAAACCACAATTTTATAACATTGCACCTATATACATTATATATATATATATATATATACATATATACATACATCCCACACTGTATACGCAATATACTTAAAACACACCAAATGCCAGAAGACGTATGTGAAGTTCCATTTTTTGCCAATTAATTACTTAGCTCCAATAGAGAAAAATATTCAAAAAAAAAAAGATCAAAAGCCTGCCAGCATACAAAATGATTGCATTGTTGCATTTTGTGGAAAACTTTTCTGCTCAATTTATGAATTTTCATTGCAATGCAATTTTAAGTAATCTTTTGTTTGTCTTGTCTAGAATTTTCAATTTCAGCTTCGACGTTTCTTGACTTTTATAAAATTTCTATATAACGTTCATGACGCCATCAATTTTTATTTTTAAAATTTTCTTTTTGTCCGTTTTGCCTGTTGCAATTTGCATAATATTCAATGCACACACAATTTTCATAGGGGGAAAAATTCAAATGGACAAACATCATGTGGTAGAGTATCGATTAGTTGGGGTGAGATAATGGACGTGCCTGGGTAATAGAATTTTAGCTTTATGGACATATTACCTTTTATTTGCATTGCGAATATTCCATTTGTTATGGGGCTGGGAGATATATACATATTCATATATAATTATTATAATATACATATTAATATATAATTATTATAAAAGTGAGCTCCATTTTTGTTCTTAATTTATAAATCGGAATCAATTCAAAGTCTTGGAAGCTAGGCGTACTTCATTTTATATTCCAATAAAAAAACCCGAGGAAAATATTCCGAAATGAATATTATATGTATGCTTTAAGTTAAACAAAATGACTTGTATTCCATTTAATAATAATCCATGATGGAGAATTCCCCCAGACATATTTTGCTCAACTAACAAATAGCCACAATTTTCTTAATAGGCCGCAACAAAATTTTACGCCCAACTCGTCAGAGTATGTCATAAAAATATGAAATGGCCATTTAAATAATAACACGAGCACACGCACACACACACACACACACACACACACACACACACACACACACACACACACACACACACACGCGCGCAGGCACAACCAACGCACACACACTCAGACTCACGCACGTTGCCAACATATTTGCACCATAATTAAAATAAATGTTTTCAATGCTCAATAATTGCCAAATAAATTAATTTTAATTGCAAGACTGAGAAAATGCCGCTAAAAATAAATAGCTAAAATCTTGCGCTTGCTCTGCCGTTCGATTTGCCCTCTCACTATCTCTGTCTCGCTCTGCCACACTTGTGTTTATTTTAGGACAGCATTTTTTGTTCCGATTTTAGCTGGCCAATACGATGGCTTGGCCACGCCTCCAAGCCAAATGTCGCAGGTGGCAAGATGGCAAAAAAAAAATATTAGATACATGTGATATATACACATATACAATCTATATATCTATAAAAGAAGGAAACACTTAAAAATACATAAAAATACCAATGGGCCATATCTGTGGGCGTTCGAGGGGAATGTTAATATTTTGGCATATTTATGACTGTGCCACCGTGTGAAGATTTCTCTCGTCAGTCGTTGATGGCTTTTCCGAAAAGGGATCAACATCAAAACCACTCGCAAGATTTATGCGTGTGTTCATTAAAAGCAGCAGCAGCAGACGCTGTCGTCAACCCTGACCCAAGCGACACCCGCTCCGCCCCCAATCCCCTCTCCCCCTGGTTCATCTTTCTGGTGCCCCTGTCACATACATGTAAATTAAATGCGCGACTTTATTTGCTTTTCGGCATTCGGTCGCCCAGGCTTGTGTGTTGGGCCTTATCAGTGGCAAAGAGAGCCAAAAAGCCAAAGTTGAATTGTGTTTGTTTATCTTGCGCCCGCTCGTCTGTACGCAGCTGTTGACCCAGCACAAAAAATATACCATACATATATATATTTGTTCATATTATTTTTTTGCGCCCAACTTTGCTTAATTTCATACGTAGGTGTGAAGTTGTTTGCCGTTAGTTCTCTAGCGACCGCCCCGCCCACTCTTCAACCGCTCACTCGAATCTGCCTCTATTTGCCTTCTGGCTTGTTTTGTGGCTTACTTTTGCTGATTGGCAGCGTATGTCCACTTTTTTTCTGGTTCGTTCTTTTCCCCAATTATGTTTTTCCTGTACATATTAATTTTTTTCACCCCTGCTATTCATATTTGCTTACGTAATGCAATAGTTATTTCATTAAGAGGCGCAGCTGAAATTAATTGAATTAACTTTGGAGTGGGCGAGCTTTTCTTTGTATAAATAAATTCTTGAAAACCCTTTGAGTGTATTGCTTTTTAGTTAATTAGTGTATAAACCAAGCGCTTCCTCCACATCTGAAATAATTTATAGGACAACTGGATTTCCTAAATATGTACATATGTCTACCCGTTCTATTATGCTTTACATTTGTACCTCTACAAATTCCTAAATTTATATCCACAATTCCTAGATTGGATTTAACCTCTACTCCAATGTCCATTCGTACACGCTTCTCGCAAAACTTAAACCCAAAAAAGTACAATTCCACGCAGTTGGGAACCTGTCGCTCGTAAATCATTTGCTATCCAGCAAAAACTCTCACCATAAATTAATTCATAGTGAAATACCAAAAGCAACAATAACAAGCAAACAACCACAACAGAAACAACATCCAACAAATTTGGATAACCGCAGTTATATAGAAAAAGGGAACCCAAAGCATATATATATATAAAATACAGATATAAATTGTGTCGCTTGAATTTTATGGTAATTCAATAAAATTGAAAATGACAAATTGTGTCATGTTGCGGTCATTTCAATGCGCCTGGAGCAACCACTAACCAAATTGGAGAGAAATGGGCTCTGGTAATGCAAGTGGACAGGCCCATAATTAAATCCATGTTGATAAAACAATAAAAGTTGGCAATGCGTAATGGCTTTAAAGTTGTGAGCCTCTGTCTCTCTCTTTTCTCCCCTCTGTGTCCCACATCAATCAATCAATCAAAATGCGATCAATCAAAGTGTTGTCAACAAGCAGCAGCAGGAGCTCACGCATCCCACTGATGATGTTGCTGCTGCCGACGCCGCTGCCCGTCGCTAGATGGCGTGTCGAACAAGAAGAATGTCGCGCTGTCATCGCCTGACCAACTTTTCGACTCACCCGCGCCGCGCCTTGCCACCCCTCATTGCCGTAACACTAACGAGCCCTAATGGGCAATAACCTCCGTGCCTCGATCCCCGCGTTAGAAAGAAACTATTGAACCAAAAATATTGTTCCAAGTGACTTACAAGGCGTGGGGGAAGGGAAGGGGGCGCAACTGAAGCGGGGGGCAGCACGCAATATGGCGTCGATTATCTTAAATTAAATGCACGTGATTGATGACTGCTGCAACCGGACCGTACAACAGATAATATCATATCTAATACTACGCTTACTTTAAACTTCCCCCAAGTATTTGGCGAAAATAACTCAATGTGAGCAATTCATCAGCGTCAAGTGGGGCATTAGGAAGACAGAAAGTACATTTAAAGTTTGGGCTTTCGATTTAATTATTGAAAATTTTAAATTGCTGTATTGAGCAAATTTAAAAACCAAATAGGAAAGATTAGATTGCCAAATATATATGGCTCACGTCTTTAGCTGGGCTCTTCGCAGAAATCGTTCCCTTACAGAAATTTCTGTCTGAACTTCACATTATCTCCTTCATTTTCAGTAGGTAAATCATTTTGGAAACATATAAATTTAAAAACATTTTGCCGTTCCTTTCTTTCCCGCCTCTCTCCTTCGATTAATTAAGTCATTTTCCTTCTCGCACTCCATCGCCCCCGCTCGCTCGATATTGCTACATCAATATCTCATCTTCCACTTCATTTACATACAAATTGTTGCCTAAATGTTGCGCATAATCAACAATTTGCACAGCATCTACTCCCCCTGCTACTTCCCCCTGATTTCAACCTGTGCATAGCTCGAAAGTAATTGACCACATGTACCCACTATGCAGCAGCTACTCCACCTGCCCCAGCCCTCAACCTCATCCCTACGCCTCTCTGCCTAGCTGTTGCTGCGGCTGCCGCTAAGTGTTGCTGATGATTTTCCTTAATGTTCCATTTCATAATTTCATGAGGCAAGATACAAGGCACGCGCCCCCCGCATCTACCAGTCTTGTGGTCACATTTGCTTAATTTATGCCAACAGCGGCTGCTGTGGCATCTCTTTTTCCTCTTCTTGCTCACTTTGCTACTTCTAATAATTTGTAATTAATTTTCACAGCTGGCCTGAACGGCAAAAAGTGAACTAGATTTTGTTTAAGCAACAATTTGCTTTCTCCCATCTGCTTTTTTTCGAGGCAATTAATTTTGCATTTAACTAATGCGTTTGACATTTTACAAAAGTTGCCACTTGCAACGCGCTGGCGGCTGCCACAGCCACTGCTGCAGCCAGCGCCAGTTCACAAATTACAATATCAAAATTGTCCATCAATTTCTCCCTCTGGTTTTTGTAGCCAGAGCGCATGCTAATGCCAAAAGGCATTATCGATTTTCGCTTTTACATCTGCCCACTTATCAGGCTACGAAAAAAATCTGAAAAAACGGCAACTTAATCAAATCGAACCGAGGACCCAACTAAACAACCAAAACGAATTGTCGCCGTTGCTGCGCAATTTGTTTAATAAATAAAACAATATTTGCCTACAGTATGCACTCGTTAAGTTCAATAGATTGTGCATTATAAGGCAGCTTTCAACAAAACCAGAACAGCTTGTGAATTACAAGCATAAGCAAGATTTTAGTTTTTTGCAGCTTAGACATGCCAATTCTATATTATATTAAATATTAAAAATTTAGTCGGTTTTCATAGCACAGTATTCACTGTATTTATTTATTGGAAGCACAAATGACGATCCATTAAGTAGCAAAAACAAACAGCTGAAAATGTCAAAAGCTGGGCAAAAATAAATGGAAAAGAACCGAGCAGCACT